CTTCAAGAACATGGCCACACAGCCCAGAAGACCCACACCAGCCATCGTATGCCAGCCGTGAAAGCCTTCGACACTCCTGGTAGTCATTATAGTTATAGGTGTTCATCACTTATCACTATAGTGATACACACCCATTAAGCCAAGATTTGGCATGAGAAACTATGGTGTAGCTTGAAGAAATGACCAAAATAAATGAATGTCACTAAAGAATTTTTCCAAAGATAGCTAACAAGTATCACTGTTAGAATAAATAGTATTTTTATCTCACTAGGTTCAGTGAAAGATATATTATTTTTGAAACAAAGTAAGCTGGAGACTTCTGGTAGTCATTGACAGCTATTAATAATGGGAAAATACAAACTCTCCCCTCTTGTTGCTCAACTCTGGCAACTATTTTATGAACTGGGAGGTCTATCAAACTCTGTTATGAACTCAACAGCATAACAACATGCATTGTTATAGCAAACTACTGCATGTGAAACAGAGCGTACCACTGTCTGTCTAACCTGATACTCATATTCACTGAATTGTAACTAAGAGCCCCATTTTAACTGACAACTGTAAAAGGAGGTGTTCTGCAGGAGACAAGCTCTGGAATGGCGAACTGCTTCCTTCATGCCAGTAGTTGCACAAACCTCAAATGACTCTCATTCACAGCAGGCATTATGTTTTAATTTCCTTAAGCCACAGGACCCAAGCTTGAATTCAGATTGTGTCTGGACTTACGCGTTCAGTATGGATAAAGAGGCAGACTTTTATATTTATTATTTCAAAGTGGAATTGATACAAACCTTCATATTTTTTATGCTAAGATCACTGTTGTCATTCGGCATTAGTTCCTTCATCTTAGCAGTCTTTTCTAGACCACTTATTCAAAGCAGCATTTTGTCTGTCTCATAAGCAGATTGTTTAGTTTGAATTCAATTTATAATGCAATGTAATCTTCTTGTAACATGCAATGTATGTTCTGGCATTGTTTTAATTTCAGAATCAATTCAGGCTTTATAGGTCAGCCAAAGTCAGAAAGCTCCTCATTACATCATGATGAACAACTCTGACCAACTGTAAATTGATCTATTTTCTTCTGGACAAAGTATTCAGAAACAAGCAAGCACTTTCATCTTTATATGAAGAACCGTTTGCTTTTGTAACAAAATAATCTAGAAAACAATAGGTTTTACCTAAAGGTCAATGCCAGGAAAAGTCTCAAATTTTAAAGAAGCATCCAAAAATATTGTATAGGATACAAACAGCCTATTCTTGTTCAGATCTATAATACTGTATTATGTGAGACTGTGCCATAACTCATACATTTCTCAGGAATAGATAATGAAATAGTGCAATGCTGGAAAGTATAAGTTCTTCCCATCTACTCATAGTACCTCCTACAAGTATTTACCTTTTCACAAGGCAATTTGCAGGATACAAATATTTCAAAAGGCATTTCTATGGACGGGTTTGCTCAATGAAGGCTATGTGTACATGTATGTGTGTTTCTATTACTCCATCACCATCATATTATTTTAGCACTTGACTCTGGTGAATGTATGAAATGGAGCACAGGATACCTTCTTAGCTAACATAATAGCTTGTGAAACATACTTTCTAATGAAATGGAGTCACCTTATACATTATAAACTAATAACAGACATTGTAAAGGTGATCTATCTAATTAAAAACACTTTTAAAAATGCAAAGGGACCAATAAACTAAAGTTATGTACCTACCTACTTTTAAGTCTTGATTGAGGCGAGAATATTTTGAACGATCAAGAGAAGGCAGACACTGCTCAAGGGGTATCCAAGTATATGTCTCTGGACATAGTAAATCAGAAGGTCTATACTGTCCCTGAAAAAAATAAGGAAAATAACAGCATGCCATTTATTAATCAAATCCAAACAATTCCAAATATCTCTATCTCCAAAATGTCTCCTGCAGTAACATAGATATGAAAACTTAATAAAACAATCCTGCCATAGCACGTGTAGACAAATATAAATTTCTCTACATATATAACTTTTCTGTTGGGATGTCCAACCTTGGCCAGTCTTAAAAAAGCTCAGAAAGACAATACCTGGTCTGTACTTGAATGTGAAAGCACCAGGAACCTCCCCCCCCCCCCAGGAAATTAGACTGGGAAGTTGAGAAGACAACTTAGAAGAAGGCAATGGCAATCCAGATGTGCACTGGAAAGGAAACAAAATGGGCCTATCTACATGAACACTGGAGGGTCTCTTTACCTTTTACTGCATCCCCTTATTTTGGGGATTGCACTGGTAACATTAATTACAAATTATTTGGCTGACTGCTATAAACAAAGACACACTGCGCATTAGGAACAATTTGTTCAACAGCTTATTGTTTTGAGAAGGTACTTCATAATCTTTAAAACAGAATTAACTTAATATTAAGTAAAATATACATTGAGCTGCCACTTTGAAGCTACAAGTCCCAGAATTTCCACCAGTTCCACCATATTTGCTGGGAATCCTAGGAACTGCAACACCAATACAACTGGAGGGTACCAAGTTGGGGAAAGCTGATCTGGAGAATGAACCATCAAGTCTGTTCCTTCACTTCACCTGGCTTAACCAAATGGGAACTAATTCTAGCTGAAAGGCTTTGAAAAGAAACCAAAAAAGATATCAAGGTATTTACATACAGTAAAAACATCTATCACTTATATCAGCGTGTACTTCAACTGTTTAGCCGATGTACAGAATTAGTAACGATAATGAAGCTAATAAGACTGGGCACTGGTTTGGATTCAAAGGCAAAAGGTGTTTCAGAGTGCACATAGGTGCACACTTAGCACCCGTCAGCAAGTTCTTAAACCCACTGCATCTTTTCTGAGGATCATGGTGCCAGAGTGGAGGACAACCATGTGATCCCAGGAAGAGATGCAGCTGCTTTAAGGAGCTGCTGAGAGGTGCTACATCTGGACCACTACTTGTTGCAAAACCACTTTGTCCCTTCAAAACCGAAGCCCTGAATTTCTCTAGAAACCAGCATCCTCACTGATATATAAGCTGTTCATGAAAGTAAATGTTAAAGCAAATATTAAAGTAAATCTTCTTTAAAATTAAATCTTTTCTGACATGTCTATTTCATCACAGATATTCCTACTTCAATCAAAAGGAGGCTGGAAGCACCTTTTCTGATACATTTTATTAAAAGGCATTAGTCATTCTATGTATTTTTTGCTACCATAGACTAGCATGGCTCTCTTTCTACAATGCCACCTCAATGTTAACCATTTGGAGTATTTTCATTTGTATAGAGTAAAATCTGAAATAGCCCTTTTTTCAGTAATCAGGTTAGTCATCCAAATCTGCAGGAGGAAATTTCTGAGCCAAATAAATATCTGCAGGATAATCATTTATACAGAATGTATGAAAAAAAATGCATTTTGAAAGAAAAGCAAACTACCCATAACAATGCCAAATTTTAGGTAATATATATCCTTCCAGCACAGAAAAGTCCAACTTTACACCGACAAGTCTGACCAATATTGAGATAAGGCAAATCAAGGCAAGCAAACTTAACTGCAACAAGAAGAACTAAATATTGAATAAATGTCAAGCTCATTATTGTGTAGTGAATTAAAGACAACTCTTATTTGTTTTCTAGTAGTTTTCATTTACGTTTGGCCATGGAGAACTGGATACTTTTACACACAGATGCAATCAGATATCAACCAATAAAATAAAATAAAAGTATTATTTTAATTCCATATCCACATACCCAATGGGGGAGAAAGGGAACAACAAAAAGAATTAATGGAAATTATCACCTGCCAATTATCGCATTTTCATATTAAAGATCATTTTCATATTAAGATACACCGGATCTTATACATGAAATATTTTAAGACCCATTAAACTGTTAAATTATTTCCTCCAAAAAAAATCAGCAACATATTTTTTTAGCATTTTTAATCCAATCAATGAAAACTTCACTTTCTACATTTTAGGAAATTTCTTTCAGGTGGTTTCACACTGGGTGACACATGCTGGCTAACATTTAAACAATGTTTACCATTAAAAGAACAAGCTATATTCATCCCCTCCACAAGACCGTAATGAGTGTGGAAATTTTCATTTATGCTTTCGATTAACCACAGGTCTTTGTTACATCCGACTATGATGTAACAAAGTATAGTTAGTATAAAATGCAGTTTATAAAAGTGGATTACTTCAACAAACTGGTTAGTACAAAACTGTCTAGGTCGTTCATCAGTAATGAGCTGTGATTATTGGAAACAAAGGTATATAAGTATTCAACCCCCTCCTCTGAACCAAGTTGGAGGAAGAGGCTGGAGTAGAAGCCTAGCTGACCACAGCTCAGCCACATAATGCTATTCTTTTCCCTCATGACAGAAAATAAAGCAGTGTATCATTCAGGGCCCACTGACATGGTTTCAGTATGTGAGGACAGTCATAAAACTCCTCTTTATGTGCCACTCAGTCCATATGTATTCACTTAGAGAAAATCATAGTGGTGCACCAAATCACAACTCTGTTCTTGGCAGAAGGCACAGCTTATCATGTGGCCAAACAGCAGAATGGAAACAGAACACCATGTCTCCATAATTATCTGGCATAATGTGTGCATCTTACTGTTTATGAGATATACTCTAGCTATAAAGTTGTCTCTTTCTAAATGGCCCTTTTGATGTATGCAGAGTATTTGCACAATTATTTCTTGTTTCATCCCACTCATTCACGATGAGGGGACAAAGACAACAAAATATTCCTGATGAAGAGGAAGAATATCTCATCTTCCTGTTGGAAACTGAACTGATTTGCAGTTTGGACTATATCCAACATGAGCCTGACAGAGGCTACAAACACTAGTCACGACACTAGTCCATCACAGATTTATTCTAGACACAAATTTCAACTATAGTAATTATTTTGTCTCTCCTTTGTTTCTCTTTCTTAGTCTCCTGCCAAAAGACATTCAACCAACCTCTCTTGTCACTAGTTTCCCCTTGTAAAAGATACACTGAAAGAAAAGAAAATCTTACATATGACATTCATTCAAGCATGGCTGGATATTTAATTGGAAACTTCTGGAGGCAAGCTTGGCAATTCTGCCTTAAGGAGTCTTTAATTGAAGTATTCTCACTTTGCCTGCCTTTGTATTCTAGTTTCTGTGCTAAAAGCATCTTGGAACTTCTGTTCCAAACAAGGCCAAAGATTTTAATGAAACTTAAATCTGAAGATTTACTCTTAAAATATTTTGGAAAATCTAAGGGATTTGGTGAGTATTTGAGATGAGGGTATGTTAGAGGGGTTTGTTTTTACAGACTAACCCAAATATGAAAAGTAAAAGCTCCAAAGAAAGATAATAGTTACAAAAAAACAAAGAGGGCCAAGTACCAGTAGCACAGAACAAACAGAAAAGGTTAAACACACATTTAATTCTTTTATCAGGTACAGTGTACATCTGTGTTCTATTTTTCCACAATAAACCCATTGATCTTTTATTAAAAGTGAATTAAGGCCTTCATCTCAGTTTCCAGCCAGCTGCTTTAAAGAGGAATCTTAACATTACATAAACAAAATAGCCTCAAATTATCAACAGCAATGCATTAAGGCAAAGGCATGAGAAAAAGTGAGCCAATCCAAAGGTTTATTAAATTCAGCCTTTTCCTTGAAAGAGGACACCAGCAGAATCCCATCAGCACAATACTACAGCAGACCCTTGCTCCCTGATTTAATTACATAAACAGAGATACGCATTATCCACCCCAAGAGAGTGCTTTGCATCCAAGTGCAGCTACTCTGTTTTCACAAACCCTGTTTAGATGGCATCACCCAGAGTAAGGCACTGTTGAACTAGGAAGAAAAAAATCCAACTATTTTATTCATATCTTGGGCTGCTGTATGATTAAGGTTCCAGAATGCAGGGAGAGTCTGCATGCACTGGACCCTCTTTGTGGATGTCCATACATAGTGCAGAGATACTAGGAGTCAGTGGAAACAGGGCTAGGCAGTCTTAGGGTCAAGGCTCAGTATGACTGTAGCCTCATTTTACATAAAATTTATTTTCACATAATGGATATGTCAAAGGGCAAAAGAGCTATAGCATCTGGCCTCACATTCAACATTCCAGAACTTACATTTTTGGAAAGCCCAGGCATGCTTAAACTTGGGCCTGGAATAGAAAAACAAAACTGTCTAATATTTCTATTTTGATGGTTTAGGATATTTTTATTGCCTCAAAATATCAGGAACAAGAACATTTTTGCTGATCATTCATGATTTGGGAAGCTAGCACTACATTCATTCTAGTGAAGTATTTCAGTATAGACTTCTATACAAATACATATGCATATATGTATAAAAACCAAGGCATATACTGGCAATGGTTTTGGCTTGCTTACTAACTTCACAAAAGATTTATCTGAGCACCATGCAGGAACGCTAAGATTATTGTGGCACTGGGCACCATTTTGTCAATCTCTGTTAGAAGAAAGAGTATGTGTAAACATTGTCTTTATTTTGAAACATGTAATGCTCATAGGACCAACTAGTTCCATCTGTTGCAATTCTTCAAAACAATTAGATGTGACATAACAAGCTTTCATGCTCCCTATTATGAGATCTTACTGATACACATTTGTTAAAAACGGTAGGTGAAATCTACAGGAAGCCTTTTTCCTCCTCCCTCATGTGCTTGTGTTCCTTCTCAGTCCCATCTTTGGTTAACATTAATGTCTGAATTCATGTAATCAGCTAGAGAAGAAAAGGAGAAACTGTGCAGGGGAGGAGAAGAAAGTCCTTGATATAGTTCCAAATAGCCAACTTGGACCATATTCCTACTTCATCAACATACAAATC